GATTGTCATGCGCATCTCGTCAGTAAAGCCGGTTCTGTGATTAGTAGTAAATCTCCATCACGTGCTTTCAGGTGGAGTGGCATTTAATACACAGCTACGCAATATCGCGTTCATAATCGAAGGCAACTCGTCTACGATTATGATCGTGATATTGCGTAGCTTGTCAGTGATCTATGGCTCTGTGTATTAAATGCCGCTCCATCTGAAAGCACATGATGGAGATTTACTACTAATCACAGAACCGGTTTTACTGACGAGATGCGCACAACAATCGCATGCGATTTATCGTGCAGCCCTAATTCCAATACATATCTTTAAAGATGTTTCTCTCCATTTCAGCAGAACTTAGACCAAACTTTACAGTTCTGTTCCTTTCTGTATTCTGAAGGGTTTTAAAGAGTTCATATGTCATTTCCACTGATTTATGTAACATATTGTTTCCTAAAAACATGGTAAAAATTTATTTTTAAACAGTATTTTCTGATTGATGGAGTGATTAAAAAGAGAAATCTAAAATCATCCCCGTAAAATCCTTTAACTCTAATATGTCCACAAAATTAAACATTTGTGTGCACTCACTGTAACAACAAAACGCGCTTTTGTAAAATAATGAAAGCAAACATGATATGCTTTCTGCCGTCTCGGTCTCTGTGAACTTGAGCGCGAAACTCTGTGTATATCTTTGCCTTACAGACGTTAAAAATATACCTATAGAAAGTGAAATGTCTACTTTCAAATGAACCAATTCAAATGTAAAACAAATATTCTCAAATTATGTAATCCGTATGAAACATGCACACAGGTGCATCACTACTGCGGAGATGACAAGTCAGTGTCAGTGTCTCCGACTTCATCTCTTAAACTGAAAACAAAGAAGGCACTAGTTTATCAAATTATTAAAATGTTAATGCAGTCTCCTTACCGTTTCTTACACAGCACTTCTGCCGGTGTGCTGTGGCAAGCTTTATGTGCGCTTGAGCGCTTATTAGGCTATGAAGGCAATTAAAGGCTCATTATAATGATTTAAATGGTTTATTAATAAACGTGCGATTAGTCGACTAATGCTTAAAATGAA